CAATGGTAAAGTCGAGATTTCAGCGGAAGGGTTTTACGATAGTCAAACGGGAAGACTTTGCATGATTGGTTGTAGGAATCTAAATTCATCTAGCAAGGAATCAAGAAATGAATCTTTCGATTGTGAGATTATGGTGCGATTCCGATTCCCACGTATCGAACGGAATAACGGAAGCTTTTTGATTAAAGGAAGTATACAAAGTTTACGTGAAAGATCAGATGCATTGTACTTTGATCCTTTACGTATCGTTTCTCTCACTTACACTGAAACCGAAGCGAAAGAATCGATATGGAGAATGGATTTGGAAATCATCATGGACTTGATTTCAGTGACACTTTCGTGTTTATTTATCGTGCTACAACTCTTTCATGTCAAAAAGAATCCAGAATTGATTCCATTGATTTCGATTTTGATGATGGTGATTCTTACACTTGGGTACATGGTTCCTTTAGTGTTGAATTTCGAGGCAATGTTTTCAAACACTCGTTACCCTCAAAACATTCCACTCGGGGGAAGTGGTGGATTGCTTGAAGTGAATGAAGTGATTGTGAGGATAGTGACAATGGTAGCTTTCATTTTGCAATTCCGTCTCCTCCAATTGACATGGAATTCAAAACCTGGGAATGACGAACAGAAACATTGGAATCATGAGATACGGAGTATTGTAATCTGTTTACCGATTTATATAAGTGGTGGATTGATCATGTTGCTAGCGAAGTGGATTGACAATGATTACATTATCTCAAGTAATCGATCAATCTGGGGTGATTTGAGGTCTTATGCGGGGTTAACACTAGATGGATTCTTGTTTCCACAAATCGTTCTTAACATTTTTCAGATTTCAAAAGGGAATGCTTTGTCTTATTTGTTTTATATAGGGAACACTTTTGTTCGATTACTACCTCATGCGTATGATCTTTATAGGGGTCAAAAGAACATCAGTCATCAATTTGATCGATTCTATCTGTATGCAAATCCAAGAGCAGATTTCTACTCAACTTCTTGGGATGTGTCCATTGCTTGTGGAGGATTTGTGTTTGCAGTGATTGTGTTCTTGCAGCAACGTTTTGGTGGTCGATTTATGCTTCCAAAGAGATTCCAGGAGTCTGTTGAATATGAAATGGTGCCTGTGGTAAACAATGAGTAATTTATTAATGATTACGTACGCAAAGTTTTAGTGTTTGTAATAGTTATTTTTTTCGGAAGTAGTAATAGAGAGTCAAATTTTTCAGTTCCACAAACCAAAGCCTAAATTTGTATTTTCTTGCATCATCTGCTTACTATATACTCATTAATGTAGTCGATAAATCACCATAATTTACGATAATTTACTTACGTAAAGGTAATTATAAAAACTGCTAGTGATGCTGTTGAAAGACAAATAATTGCATTTGTAAGGCCCTTCATCGAATCATCTTGGCGGCAATGATTAAACTAACAATGTCCTTGGTCTAGACGCCCTGTTTTGAATCCAATGGAGAGCTAACATCCCGTACCCGAGTTCAACTTAACGAGAGAAAGGAAAACAATGGGTGAAATGAGAAGAAAATGAAAAAAATTGATGTTCCCGAGTTTCATTAAAGGAAGGAAGTGGAGAAAAATGAAAGGGTCACTTTCTCTCCTATCTTTCCTTCTGATTTGGGAGGATTTGGAAGGAAAGAAGAAAATGATTAATTTTCCTTCCATTTATCTCCAACTCGGAACACAAAAGAAAATTTTGTTTTCCTTTCCTTTCTCTTCTTTTCTCTCGTGACCTTCTTTTCTCTTCTTTTCTTTTCTTTTGATAAACTCGGGAATGGGGTGTAAGAGCTGTGTTGTAAGTAACCTCATTCACTCACATATAGTGTCACATGAGGAGGGTGCACAAACACTATTACACAACATTGGGGGTACGTATAGAAATTATCAAACCTAATTTAGTGGCATTGTCTTCGTTTTCTCGGTTAACACAGTCATATTCAAGATAAAATTGAGACACAATTAATCAAACAAACTCTTTGATTAAAAGGAAAATCACTCAAAACATTTGTGTTACAATTATGAATTCTTAATCCTAAAACTCGATTAAGATATGTATATATAGATCTAATGATCGACTTGTATTATGTCACACCCCAAAACCAAGAATGGCGGGAACGTTATGGGGCGGAGGACGTCATGTAAAGTATCACAACACAGTAAATGTAAATAAGCAAACAACATCATCCATTGCATTAAATATAAAATTTTAATACAAGCGTATTCCGTACAGTTTTAGACACCAAAAATATAATGTAAATCAAAATAGTATGATGAGTCTTGAATGCGCTCCATCTTCTCAAAAGCTAGCATCGGTACCTGTCTACTGATGACCTGAGAATACAAGTTATTTTGAAAGAGTTTATCAGCATTAAGCTGGTGAATTCATAAGTATTTTAGTGTCGAGGTTTGTTATCAAAACGTTTGAACCTGTCGCAAGTATGAGTTGTAAATGTATGTAAGTGTTTGTAAAAGTTTGAATCTCTCAGAAAAACCTATATTTTCTGTTAAAGTAGCCCTCTACCAAGGCTTAACTGTTTTGTATGCTCGTTTGATGTAAAAGTGTGTAATTTCCCAAGTGTAACTATCATTTAACAAAATATAGTTTGTACATTAAAGTTTAAGTGAGGTTATCACCAAAATGTAATGGGTAAATTATTGTAGTACGGTAGTTTTGTTTTATATGAACTACTGTTGTACTAACTACCTTAAACCGGGTTTATATTAAGGTATCGTGTGATAAATTGCACCATACTATCGACTGGTAACATCGACAACGTATAGTCGAAAAATAAGGTATGACGTTTGGCACCCGCAGACCTATCGGTCCCACTGTAGCTAGCAGCGAGGTGTAGGATAGTCAATCCAGTATAGATCTATACGCAAACTCACGCTCTCCCTCCAAGAGACTCTGGCTACAACTCGGGTCATGTCAATTAAGACATGCTCCCATACAGTGGATCACAATTGTTAACGTATTCGTGTATATGCAATATAATGTTACTTGTTCTAGTATCGTTGTATATGTTCTCTTAGTAATAAGTATTGACTCCTGAATGAACTGACTCGTTGATCTAGAAATTGTAGTAGTATGATCCCGTGTTACCCCGATGGTAACTTACTAACGAGGTGCTGATAAGTATGAATATGGAAGTACTTTTATGTCAATACATGTATATATGATATATAACTAATATTGAAACGACCCTCGGATGGTCACCCGAAATTCCACCAGACCACATCCAAATCGAGGAAAAGGAAATAGGACAGGTGGCTTTCCTAAGCCCTTTAAACATTATTTATACAGTTATACATATATGGGCATGCAAATTTATAGGTAGTAAAACAAAGTTTACAATAAAGCATTTGATAAGTAAAAGAGTTTGTAAAACATTTTGAAGTAAAACAGTTTGAACAGTGATAAAATCATTGGTTTCCTAGTTATTAATCACATGTGATTAATGCAATCACATGTGATCGAAGCAATAACTATAAGTGTTTAACGTGTATCCCCCCCCCCCCCATAAAGTATTTAAACATTTAAAAGCATTTCAAAGGTTGAATAAAGGGGTATGAACTCACTTGGAAGTTTGAAGATAGCGAGATCGAAAACCGGGCAGAGTTTCGTCTCGGGAAACGGATTTTTCTCGGGAATCTCGGGAGTAAAATCGACCCTCGGGACTTGAGCAAAAAGACCAGAGCTTCGGGTTTGAACGGGCACGGATATCTAGGCAAGATCGTGAGAGAAAGAGAGAAAATGAACAAATTTTTCGGAAAGGCTCGCATCCCTTTTTTATAGGGGTGCTGAACCGCCTCCGAACGCGGGGCGTACGGGCGTACGCAGCGCGTACCCGTACGTCATCGCTTACGTATTTCGGATGGAGCGGGTCGGATGGGACGGCGGATCGGGTAGCTTCGCATAGGGAGACGTGGACGATCCGAGGTCGTGCCCTCGAGTACGCGGGGCCTACGAGGGTACGCGGCGTGTACCTCGGCCCTAGGCTAACTCCTCTTCGGATAATACCGAATTTTTAATAAAAATTATATATAAATTATTTATCAAACTTCAAAAATTCATATCTCCTTCATACGAACTCCGTTTTCGACGTTCTTTATATCCCCGCGAAGGTGAGACTACGATCTACAACTTTCGTTTAGATTCCGTTGGCAAATTCCGAAATTATTTTTATTATTTATTTATTAAAATGATGTGATTAAGGAATCTCTTTAAAAATTCATAACTTCTTTATCTGACGTCGGTTTTGCCAAACTTTTTACCGTTGAAATACCATTGTCGAGACCTTCGATTCTCGTTTAGGTCATTCCGGCCAAATGTCACTCGATCTCCGTTTCGAGTTTTTAGCTGTCTGTTGCTAAGCTGAACTTTGAAAAATCATAACTTCAATATACAAAGTCGGATTTGGGCATTCTTTTTACGTACGATCATGGTTTAATGAGATTTAAACATAGAAGAATTTAAATAGAAACTTTTTGGACATTTTATTATCAAAGTTAATTTTATTAACTCAAAAAAATGTTTACAATACTTGACCTATTAGGCCATTACAAAGAGTTGAAATATCGGGTTGTCACATATTAGATTGTAATTAGGAAACTAAGAACCGACTTGTAAAGTAGTTTACTAAAACTAGATTGCCTAAATTGGATTGTTTGATCCTCAAACTTAGGATTCCAACAATCACCCTTGAATCTCTAAGTCCTTCTAGAGACGTCTTCAATCCCGATCAAGTTCTGCATTTCCTTGAACTTGGTTCGAGCTAATGGTTTCGTAAGAATGTCCGCCTTTTGTTCGTCACTGGGAATGTACTCCACCTCCAATTTTTCATTTTCAACACAATTAAGAATAAAGTGAAACCTCGTGTGAATGTGTTTATTCCTTCCATGAAAAATGAGATTCTTCGTTAGTTCGATAGCCGACATGTTATCAACTCTTAGAATATGCTTGATTGCAACACCATTTGAAACCGTATCATGTTGCTCCTCGTAAGTACCGTAGGATGTGCTTGATTGCAACACCATTTGATTCTCTTGGACTTTGCATGTATTGACTAACAACTCCAACCGCATATACCATATCGGGTCATGTTTGTGTAACGACCCAAAATTCAAGACCATTCGTTATCAGAGTAAACATTCACAGGCTGTCTAATTTATGGTGTGTGCTATGCGATCACCCCGAGCTCTTCCCTCCGCTACCGGAAGTACCTGAAACCAAAACTGAAAACCGTAAGCACGAAGCTTAGTGAGTTCCCTAACCTACCACATACCATGCATAACCACATACTGCACATACTAGGCCATGCTCGCTATTTTGGGCCTCGCCCCCTACCTCGGGCCTTACCCACTACAACGGCCCCGCCGCTCCAGGCCCTGCCTGGCTTCGAGCCCCGCTCGGATACAGATCTGTTTCAATTAGGCCTCGCCTGTCACTGGCCCCGCCCGCTAACATATAATAGCACATAAGCATATAACAACACATAAGCTAACATATACTCACAAATCATGTCCTAAGGCCTCGCCTATCTTGGGCCTCGCCCTTGTCTTACTACTGATGAGTCATGGAACCCCGTCCACGCTCCTACTAGTACTGAGATACGAGCCTAGCCCACTCTCACTCCTTCCCTAACTTGGGCCTCACCCCTGTTCTACTACTAATGAGATGTGGAACCCCATCTACACTCTGCTATTGGTGAGTTACGGGACCTCGCCCACACTCACCTCCCTACCAAGCACATACATGTATCACACAGACAACAAGTATAAACTATCATATAAACAAATCCTTGGGCACCCGCCCACTATTAATGGACCTCGTCCTGAATATCATACTAGCATACTGTGCCTAGGGCTAACCCCCAGGCCTTCTACTCATAACTACATGGGTCGGCATTATGCCCTTAGACCCATTCACACAAAGGGAAACTCACCTGCACTGGCTGAACTTGCTGATGATCTCACTAACTGCTGCCCGGCAACTCTCTGAACTCTTGCTCCCCTTGCTCCACGAACTACCATTATCAATGCGACACTGAGTCTAACTGACCCCCAAAAGTCAACTAAGTCAACTCTGGTCAAAGTCAAAGTCCTGGTCAAAGTTAACCTTTCAGG